TTTTTTTTTTTACTTAAAAAAGGCAGCTGATGACTGACTTGTTTGTTCTTTCCCATTGTTCTTGATGTATTAAAGTTCAGTTTTATCTGCAGTGCAACTTATTCAATCTATATACTTATACTTACTATCATTTTGAGTAGAATTAGTTCTGTATATGTTCTTTTTAACGTACCTGGCTCTAACTTATAACAGTGAAACTTTTCTCTTGCAATAGGCAAGGATTTCTTAGGATGACATCTTTTATTGGACTAGCTGCATAGTTCGGATAGTTAGACAAGCTTTTGAATGCAGATGTCACTGTGTAGTCTGGCTTCCTTTTTCTTTAGGTTTTGCCTTTTTTCATTGTAAGCAGCAGATTTCAGTATCTTCCATGTTATGATAGTGTTAGAGTGGTGTTGTAGCTGTGAAGGTACAGGAATTACGCGAGTGGCAAGGATTTCTTAGGACAGGGGTGCTCAAACACGGGCCCATGGAGACATAGGTATCTGGCCTGCGGGGCTCCCCATGGTTTGGGAAATTTTGGCAGCAAGGGAGCAGTGAAACTAAATATGGTTACCCTCCCATACTGCCAAATTCCTAAATGCTGAGACCTGTGCAGCTGGTTGGGGCCAGGTCATGCTCCATACCTCTACCCCCACAGCTAGGTGAGGCTGGGTCATGCTCCTACCTCCAGGCTGGATGGGGCTGGGCTGGGGCCATGGAGCTGGGTTAAGGCTGGCTCAGATCCCCTTTCCTCCCACCCCTGGTGGGGATGGACCATGCCATCTCCCTCCCACCTTCTGAGCCAGATGGGAGCCGGGATGTCCCTGCTTCCCTCCACATGGCTGAATGCGGCCCTGTCATGACTGCCCTGTGCATGATTGAGGCCAACAGCCTGATCCAGCCCATGGACAGCCAGGGCTCTACCTATCTGGCCTGCTGGCCAAAGAGCAGGGTGGATTTGATTTAAATCACTTGTCAGGAAGTCTCAATTTAATCATTGTTTTCTACAAAAAATGCATTCTTGTTGTTTGATATCCTTTATTGGTTGTGGAGACACCAAATATTTCATGAAGTTTTCCCCAGTCCATATACGTGTAACAGGCTACCCATTGGCTGGGACTTTTCTTTTCTCCCTACAGTGGTATGGTGGCCTGGTCTCACTTGGCTAAAAAGCCAACAATGGGTTTGATACAGCCCTAATTATGACTGGCATCAAAACAGATAGGGCCCAGCAGCCATCTACATACTAGGCTTAAGTGACAAGTTGAATTAGCTGGAATTGTTCCAAGGCATAATGTTAATTTAAATAATTGCAAGTATTTAACATGGTACTTGTCAGTCTGTAAGGTCTGGGGTTTGCTGCTAGACAAAATAGAAGCACCTATCAGTTCCAAACCAATCTAGTGAGGCAGTAGAAACTTCATATATAAACAAATATATTTACAGTGGACAAACTTGGAGAGAGTTAGGGATTGAGGACAGGAGAAAAGCAGAAAGGTAAATTTACTAAGCAGCTTTTTTTTTTTTTTTT